TAAATTTACTTATCATTTTTTGTTGTCGGTAAATTAAGATGATAGAGAAAAGGGGATTCCCACTTTAAATGCTGTTTAAGTTAAAGAAACAAAAATAGGATCGTTCCGACTTGAATGGAATAAGCAAAGTCAAACAAACTCCATTGCAAATATGTATGTAAATATTGTGTAGATACCTATAACTGATCATTATTATTATTATCGCCTGTAGGTCAGGCATTTTATCAGAATATACGAAATGTGCAAGCAAATAAGCATGGATTGGTTTAGGTGTACTTAAGTAAGCAGTGATAATGCTTAATGATATGTCAGCTACGTTGTCTTCGAGTGTCGTTCTTTTTAGCCGGCATATCCATAGCTACGATGACATCATCGCTGACATGTCACCAAGGACATCACGTAAGCTTCTTACATCGCTGACTTCATCAATGAGCAACTTGTGGTGCAACAAATCTGCCATCCTGCTGGGCTAAGCTCAACGAATATTTCGCTATTTACATTGTGATTCGATTAGCTTTATTTCATGGACCACATGCAGATAAGAGATGGCTGCCAACCAGGCAGTCAAGCGGAGCGTGACCTGGACAAAGCTTGCTCGCGATCAAATGTTTATATTTACACACATGCAAACGGGCGTGCGTGAGTGTGTGTGTGTGCGTGCGTGCCTGTGTGTGGCGCATGTGAAATTTCGTGAATCAAAGTTTGTGATGTGGCGCGCAAAAAGTCAAGTGGCAGCGCGCGTAACGCAGCGAAACGCTCAAAAAAATACGTGAGAAGGCGTTGCAAGGCAGTCAGATGTTTGTGTTTGTGTGTGTGTGTGTTTGTGTGTGTGTGGCTGTGTAATCGCCATTTTGGTTGCTTGCCATTGCATATGCGCTCACGCACACGCATGCAAAGCACATTTAATCAGACGCTTCACGCCCTTAATATACCGCCCCCTTCACCAAACAGAACGTCTTAACAGCCACGCCCCTGTCGCATGTCCATGTTTCAGGATTCTCAATGCCTGGTTTGTGGAACTATGCCATGCGTGAAGAAACGTGTGGCATCATTACAGTCTCCAGTCAGTTTCGTCTTCATTTTGCTAAAACATTTATCTGCACACCAATCGCACGCACACACACGCAGGCACACGCGCGTGCACACACACACACACACACACACACGCAGGAAAAAGAATTTAATGTCACAAACTTTTGACGTGCTCTAATTCGTATACAAACAGACAGTCTGGCAGTCTGATAGTCTGTCTAAGATTCTCGCAGTCTGGCAACTCTGTCACCTTGACTCTACCCAGTTTATGGGGCTTCATATGTCTGTTGCCGCGATGTTGGCTCGTTAAAGAAAATTTGTTTTTACGCTTGATGGCAAATTGGGCGCAACTCACGCCACCGCCCCCACCACCCCTTGCTCCATGCCTTTTTTTTTGCCACGCCCATGCACTTGACTTTTGTATGTTGTGCGTTGGACCCGTTAATATTTCATATGTCAACGCAAGCAACATCCCAACATGGCCCGAAAGCCAAGCCACCAACCCAATCCTGCCCCCCTTCACCACGCGCGCACACACACACACACACACACACACACACACACATCTCATCCCTTTGTGGGCAGCCCCCCCGTTTTTTTTTGTTCTCAAGCGTGGCCTTAAATCGCTTGCATTTAAAAAATTTGATTATGTGAAATTCTCATGCGGGGAAATTAAATTTATACACAGATTCACAATTTTTGTGCCTGCTCGTTGTTGTTGTTGTTGCCGTTGCTGCTGTCTCGCATTTTCATTTTTTATGACGGCTTTTCCGCATTTTCGGCATCAAGCAGCGGAGCTGCGAAAAACAAAAACATGAAGCAAATTACAAGCAACAAAACCACGAATTCGAGCTACCCTTTACAATTACAAGATATAGTTATTGTATTTTTTTTTTACAATCGGTTGATATATCTATATCTCGCGTTTCAAGAGATCTTTAAATAAATTGGGAAGTATAGGAAGTTATTGATCAAGTTACACGGAAACCGAGCTTCGTGTCTTATAAGCGATTGTATACATAATTTTGCTGGCTTTAGCTACGATAATATCTGAATTCTCTTGGACAGCCAGATTTCAATGATGATATTTACATATTTCTTAGGGCTTAATATGCCTGTCTCCAGCTGACTGTTGCTTGCTTACAGCTCTCGATCATGCCCTGTCTTAACCATATCCTTAGTACAGGGTATCAGAAAGCGAACTACATGCGACTGACACATTCACTCAGCCAGTCAAATTGAGCTACGTCGGCTTCAGTTTCAGCGTAACCTTTACGTTCTCTTATACCCGATAAGAATGTTAATAGACACATCCAAATACTGTTGAAATGTTTCAAAGTTTCAAGTCTATATGCTGACACGTGCAGAGTTACCAGACATTTAATAAAAGTTGTTGAAAAGTTGTTGTATCTGCATTTCAATACGATTTATGTATATATTTTATATACAGTTATTTGTGTTTGATATTTAAAAGTTCTTGAAAATCCCACAAGGTCTAACATAATAAAATACATTTTAATAAAGATAATATCATTTTTTGTACTCTGTACTAAAAAATCTCCAAAGTTCTTAGGAGTAGAGGAATTCAACAATATATTATATTTTTGTTAGCAGTTGATAGGACATAATTCAGAATCTCTTACTTGAGACTATGCACGAGCTATGCTTAACCGATATTATATCTGGTACCTATGTTAAATTAAATACTTATCAAAATTTCAAAGGAACAAATTATAAAGTAAAAAAAAAAAATAATTAATAAAAGGCATATTAGTTTAGTTAGTTTTCACTAGTCAACCCAGCTGATTGATAAACATATATTGTTTACTTAACAGGGTATTTGTCAGTCGTTGTCAGGTTTGTTATTGATTTCTTTATTTGCAGCGTGTGTTAAGCGACTTAAAACAGCTTAAATGCTGGCGCTGCTGCCATCAAATGCGACGGAGGCTGGAACGGGACTGGGATTGGGTCTGGGTCTGGGTGTGAGGCTGGGTCTGGGTCTGAGGCTGGAATGTGCGTGGTAACATCAGGCAGATGCGGGAAACGGTGCACACACGGGGCAAGGGGCAAGGACACATGGCGAGGAAACGAGATCGTCATTGGCATCCGTATTTGTACTTTAAAGGACAACGGCTGGCAAATGTTTGCGATTTATGCATAATTTATGCAAAAAGAGACACAGCAACAATTTGACATTAATCAGTATGCTTTATTGACTTGACCCAAGCGCACAACAAAGGAGCGAAAGAGATGAATGCACGACAAGCAGAAGAGAGAGAGAGAGAGAGAGAGAGAGAGAGAGAGTGACAGATAGGGAGAGTGTGGGAGTGACAAGGACTCATGACATTCGTGTCTGACATTCTCCATAACTTAATCAAGAAATTCTTTATGCAGCCATCTCACTCTCTGCTTTCCATGTACCCCGCATTTCACACCCTCTCGCGCGCTTATTTAGTGATGCTTTGTCCCTTTCTTTATGTGTGCTCCCCCCTGTTGCCATCTCATCAATGGCATTAATGCCCGTCGCTTCTATTGTGCTTTCGTGCCTTTTGTTTTTGATAATGAATGCGACTTTGGTGACATTCCGTTGCCTCTTTGCGGTTCAGCATGTTTTCAGTTCCCTTTTGCATAGGAATTTTAATAAATTTCTCTATAAAAATCCTTGACAGCCGCAAGCTACGTATTTCGACTGATGGTATAATGAGTACCTGCAGCTATGTATATCGAAGGGTTTTCTGCATTCCGCATATGACTTTGGCGCAGACTTTGACTTTCACCTTGACTTTGACAAGAGGTCGCTTACATCTGGCAACGCTGTTTAGGATATGTTGGCTACTCTTTAGAAAGGAGACTTAACCTCACAAAAGCAAACTTGATGGAATTATTTTGGCATTTAAATAGATGAGACATACAGAAAAGGGAGGGGTCTACCGAATAGGGTATATAATCTGTGTGAAAGCTTGAGGTTCCATATGTTTCAAATCTAACATAGAAGTTTATTACTCTATATGCAAAGAAAGTTTCATCATGAACATGCATCTAGTTTTAATTTTCAAAATGAAAGCATTTTGAAATTTTTAATCTTTTGTCTATTAAAATCTGGTTCCTGGTTAACATGTATGGAATGCATGCACTTATATTTTCCAAAATCAGTTTTTTTTATTATGGTAAATGTCAATTAACGGAAATTATTAAAAACTAATACGTCACGTTACGTGACATAATTTTATGGCCAAACGACTAACAATACGATAGAGAGAGACTTGACTTCTTCGTGTGGATCGGGAATGGGAGACGTCGCTGATTTGCGTTTGAATTGTTGCCAAGCTTTTGTTGTTGTTATTCGCATAGCTATTGGCAACTCTGGCTAACGAACCGAACCAATTACAGTTGAAAATATGTATTTACTACGCTCAGTTCGAGCCTCAAGTTGACGACACAAAGTCCACGTAGCGTTGCCCAAAAATAATAACAAAACTAAACAATATATAAAAATACCTTTAATAACAAATTTAATGAAAACAAATCCGAAAGCTTATAACTCAGCGCAGATATACCCTGTATTTTGTAAAAATATACTAATTCTTTAAACTGCTTAAGACTTCTTGAGCTCAGTCTGCAAATTCTTCAAATATATTTGTCAATAACTTTTGTTTTTCAAACGCGTTTGTTGTGGAACTTTCGGCACATACAGTTGAGACATCAGAAAGTCTACACAGCAAAGTTTCTAGCTATAGCTCCAATGGCCTGTGTGTTTACTGGGAAATATGTGTGAGATATGTACTTAATAGTCTTGGGGCTTTATATCTTAAGCTGTTTTATTTGTTACAGGGCATACAAAGTGGACGCAGCGTGTGCATTGTGCGGGCAATTAAAAATAATACATATATAAACAAATTATGAATAAAAAAATATTATAATTTCTTTATTGTCAATTGGCCAATGTTCGATCGGTCCGCTGACGCGTTTTTTAGTTGCGTTTTCGTTGGCCAAGCGAACGGATCGAGACAAAGCGACGGATTCGGATTCGGAATTGGAAATCGCTTGCGCAAACGTGCCAGCTCTGAGCTGCCTATAAAGCACCGCATTAGGCGACGACAACGCAAACAACAGCAACAACAACAACAACAACAACAACAACAACAACAACAACAACAACAACAACAACCAGAGGAACAACAATGCACCTTTACGTGGCATTGTGGGTGTGTGGCACGCTGCTGGCCCTGCTGCTGGGCTGGCAGCAGCGGAAATGTTGGCGCCTCATCTGGCAGCTGAATGGGTGGCGGGGCGTGGCACAGCAGCCATTGCTCTGGTTTCTGCTCTGCATCAATTTGCATCCGAACAGTTGAGTAGCTCAAATAATTTACCTCAAGACACTGCCCATTTAATACCTTCCCCTTATGCCGCAGGCATTTTGGACAAGGTGACGCGTCTGCGCGTACTCTTTCAGCGCCCGTTGGCCATATTGATTGGCACGCGCGCCCTGCTCTATATCGATGATCCGGCGGGCATGGAATGTATATTGAATGCGCCCGAGTGTCTGGACAAGACCTTTATGCAGGAGGGCTTCTTTGCCCGCCGCGGTCTGCTGCATGCGCGCGGTAAGTATTAATTATACCCCAAGCCCTCCCCAGCTCCGCCTGAGCCATACACTAATTGTCGGGATTGCAGGTCAAAAGTGGAAATTGCGTCGCAAGCAGCTGAATCCCGCCTTCAATCACAACATTGTCATTAGCTTTTTCGATGTCTTCAATATGGTGGGCAATCAGCTGGTGGAACAGTTTGCCACACAGTCGCATCTGCATGGCACGGCGGTTAAGTTCAAGGATGCCGAGGATATGCTCAGCCGCGCCGTCCTGGAGGTATCCTGCCGTGAGTAGCCACCCATTGAATGCCTTAACCAAATCCCAGCTAGAAAGTTAAAACGGTCGCTGCCCAAACACTGCCCTCGCACGACACGTTTGTCCAGTTTCCATGCGGCTCACGTACGCGGAACCCATTGAGACCGAGCCACATAGACCCGAGGGTCACCATTCAACGCTGCAGGCCGCACTAGAAGTGCTTTCGGCTGGGTGTTGGGCGGCAAGTTGAGCTGTAAATTATGATTAGGCTTATGCAGTAACTAGTCGATTGGTTATTGATTGCTTCGACATAGGCGCCAAAATCTGTTATCATTTTGCTGCTGCCTCAGCAAAGGGTATTTCCATTTTGTTACTCAACATGTTGCATGTAATACCCATACACGTATGTCCGACTGTTTTTAATCATATATCTCATCAGATCTACATACACTAAATTTGGGACCTAGCTTCTGGTAGAGTGACACAGGTTCAAAATATTCGTTTCTCGCCGCTAATATTTTTTATTTAAAAGCTGAAATTTAGGCCCAAAAATAGCCAAAGCTGGTACCTGACCCAAAAAATGGTTTGCTTCAAAAGAAAAGCTAATTGAGACATTTGATAATGTTTGTTTCCAACCCGAGGGGGAAAGGTCAAGAGAACGGTTTAGATTATAAAATAGGAGTCGAGAGGTGCTGCCTCTGATGAATTTTAAATTTAATTATGTTTGTAAATGAAAAAATATGAAGAGCCACAACCTTGAAATCAATACTTAGGTTCAGGGATTCAGCAAACATAGATGAATTTTATACATGCATGTAAAATATATGCACGTTTTTATAAAAATATATGTATGTTTATATATTATATGATTAGGTACTCACCTGCCAATTCACATGCTTGATTATGTATCGTCATCTGTCAGTGGGTGGAAGACGAACTTTTATATAAACACAACACTGAAAGAGCAGAAAAGCAGAGATTGTGTCCATTAGCTTATTTTCTTTTTTGATGCAGAAAATCAAACATTAGTACATATGGATATAATAAGACATAGTTATGTCCATAATACGTACCAGTTTTTTCTTATTTGCCTCATTTAAAATTGATCCTGCCTCCTCCGTCAACTACATAGGCACCGTCATCCGTCATGCACCGCCGCATCCTTCATAGGGGGCAACCTTCTTCTCCTTTACTCAAGCCGCCGTTTACTCAATCTTTGAATATCCTCAATAGCTAAAGCCACCGTTTCCTCCTTTGCTCAATTTGCCATCTTTTCAATTGGAGCCAGCTCCTCCAATATTAAGGCTGCCGCCTCCCTCAAAGTTGAAGCCACTTCCTCTATAGTTAACGGCGCGGTCTCTTCCTAAGTGGTAGTTGCCTACTCCGATGTCGAAGCCGCTTCTTATACTTGAACTGAAGCTTGTGGGAGTTACTTAAATTTATGAGAATCACGTAGTAGGGCATTATTTAAGAAGACTTTTTGTTCAATTTGCATTTATATGTACATAAGTGCATGTATAATATATACTTATATACATCCATATACACATGCAAGCATATACACACACACACGCACACTTATACATACATACAAACATACATGCATACATACATACATACATACATACATACATACATAAATACATACATACATAAATACACACATACATACATGCATACGTAGATACATGCATACATTCAACATGCAACATGCAACATGCTTACATGCATACATGCAACATGCTAACATGGAATATGCTTTCATGCTTACATGCATACATGCATACATGCATATATGCGTTCACTCATACACAAAACATATATGCACATGGCTACACTTTAATAATGGTGAACTTTAAGTTAAGAACTGCTTTACCTTGAATTTGTGGTAATTTTCCAACTACATATTAGCGAATTAGTATGAAGTGCCCGAAGAAGAGCTTTGTGGCGTGTTCCATTATATTTACACACATCTTGGGCTGACTGTGCTTGAGGCGTTCGCTGGCTGCGTTCGTTTCAATTTTTGGGCCAAATTTAATTACTTGACATTTGACACTTTGCTGGATAAAACAGTTAGCGGTGGCCATTAGCAGTTGGCTGGCGGCTAATGGGGGCTGGTTTGAAGAGGGAGGTGTTGTGGGATTCTTGGGCCAGAGTTTACACTGAAGCTCAGCGCGTCGCATGGGGCGAATTATGTTTTCGGTAGCCGATGCTAAGGCCATTCTGCCTGCTGTCAGCGGGCAATATTTGAATGTCACATCTCTCTCTCTCTCTCTCTCTCTATCTCTCTAACTCACTTTTGCTATCTCTATCTCTATGAATGTCTGGGGCTTAACACCTCGTTGCCTTTTATTGCAGTCACCATTATGGGAACACCGACAAATTTCACGCAAGCGGATGACGCACACATCGCAACCACCTACAAGCGGTAAGTGGTCTCAGCCCCAGCGGCACAAAAGCCGTAGACTAATGCTGATGTGTGCGTGTGTGTGTGTGTACTTTTTAATAGGCTACTCGAAATCTCGGCTATTAAAATTGTGAAGCCCTGGCTGCAAATTGATTTATTGCATCGCCTATTGGCGCCTCAATTGTACGCCGAGGCCGAGGCATGCAACCAGCTGCTGGTGGATTTTGTGGCACAAATCGTGCAGCGCAAACATCGCAATTGGCAACTACGCAATGCCATCGACGATGAGGAGGATGTGCCCTGGCAACGACGCATCTTCATCGAGCAAATGTTCCAGCTGGCGGCCAATGGCGAACTAACGCTTCAGGACATCGAGGATGAGGCACAGTCCATGGTTTTGGTGGTAAGTACAAGATACTAGAGATAGTTAAAAGCTTAGTGGGGGCTTACAATGTAAACAGTTGATCGTTATTCATACAATTGGTCTGTAGCCATTGAAATCGGACTAATATGTCGGTCTGTCAATCTCAGATATTATCCAAGCGAAGGTTTCCAAAGTTTAAGTGTGGGCAATTGATCAAAAAGTTGTTCTAGCCTCGTTTTAAATACACATACATATATCGTAGATTATAAAACCTAGCTTTTAGCTGCCATTGTAAGCATTCTAACTTCCTTTCATAATACATATATACATCTGTTATCCCACACTATGGGAAATGAGTTCTTGAAAAACTTCGGTATTTCGGTTCTAAGTAGCACCCAAAACATTTGATTTTCCTTAAATCTGGTTTAAACAAGGCGGAAGGTAATCAAAAAGTCATCTGATAATGATTTTAAATGCACATATTTAAAAGTAATTTAAAACATCTTGGTAAAGAGCGCATTACTTAATCGAAGAGCTGGCTCTCTATCAAAAAAGCTGTCTATTTATCAATGGGTAGAGTATACATAGATCTCGCTTAACTCTCAACTTAATGTAATCTTGATTTTACTTGCCCAGTCCTTTGAGACGGTCTCGAACAGCATAATGATTGCTCTGCTGTGCCTGGCTACCCACAAGGGCGACTGTCAGCGGCGACTGCGGGCGGAAATTACGAGCGTGCTGCCGCACGGCAACGATGCCAGCTATGTGGGCGTCGAGCAGCTGCAGCAGCTGCGCTATTTGGATGCATTCGTGAACGAGGCGCTGCGTCTGCTGGCGACGGTGCCGATGAATTTGCGGCATGTGAGCCGCGACTTTCAGCTGGCTGGGCACGAGGCGATTGTGCCCCAGAACACGATAGTTGTGATGGACACGTTCAACATGCAACGCGATGCGGCCTGGTGGGGCGACAGGGCCAAGCAATTCGATCCGCAGCGTTTCCTGCAGCAGCAGCAACAGCAGCTCGATCACGACCAGGAGCCGGAACAGGAAAAGCATCAGGACGAACAGCAGCAGTCCGGCGCGGAACGGGCGAAGCAGCGTCGACACTCGTACAGTTTTTTGCCCTTCTCGAAGGGGCTGCGCACTTGCATAGGTGAGCTCTTGGCCCTTGATTAACTGCTTTTAATGGTTTAGAGCTTAACGGTTGAACAATTTGTTTACAGGTCGTCGCTACAGCTTCTTTATTATGAAGGTCTTTCTGGTCAAGCTGTTAGCCAACTTTGAGTTTGGCAGCGATCATCAACTCGAGCAGCTGCAGTTCGTCGAGGGCATCTCGCTCAAGTTTCGCAACGCCGACGAGATACTCTTTCAAATACAGCCACATAAGAGTTCATAATATTAATGCGCCTATTAAACCCTGGCGGAGTTTACCACATTCAGCAAAGCTGATAAAGTTATATTTAATATTGTCTGCGCGTGTTGACAAAATGTCCGTCTGTCTTTCAAGCTAGTTCCAAGGCTCAGATATCTTCATAAACTCTGTTAAGGCAATTTATTTAGTGTCTCAAATTTTAAACTAGATGAATAACTTAACTTTTTATGTTCAATCACTGACAATGGAATTTTATTTGTAGGAAAAGCTGTTTTGCTTGTAATTCGATTCTAAGATTAATTCTCTTGGCAATATTTAATGGTCCCCAATGCTTAAAAACTAATTCGTTTGAACAAATGGGAAACCTTTAATATCGGAACTCTTGGGATATCTAAACAAATTGCTCTGATGAGCTTTGCGTTTCCATCAAAATTATTTTTGGTTCCAACAACCTTTTTTTTTATTTACTGATTGACAGAAAGTTGAAAATAGTAGGGAATACTATATCGTTCACATTTCATACGATTTGTTTGGTATAATAAATATATAAGTCTCCGCCAGCGTATTAAAATTTCGGCATGCCGAAGTTAATTCTTCTCCGGTGTTTTTTTTTTCCTTTTTTTTTTGCTGTAATTTTCGTTAAACCTAAATAGACTAGTACATAATATTTAAACGACATGCTAGATGGGCTGCTAAGCTAAACTTGTAGAATTTGGAATGAGAGATTGGGAGAATTTATTCTCTGGCAACGAGCTGCAGGTCCAGTTTGTGCAGCTTCTTGAGCCAGCGCTGCTCGACACGCTCCTCGAGCCGCTTCTCAAGATTGGCAGAGGACTGCTGCAGCTGGTGGGCATTCAGCTCGGCCTGATGGGCGCGCTTCTCACTCTCGAGCAGGCGCTGCTTCAGCTTGGCCACCTGCCGGTCAAAGCTTTGCACCTGCTGAGCAGAGCGCTCAAACGCGCGCTCCACGCAGTGCAGATTTTGGGCGGCGGCATCCAGTTCCGCCTGGAGCACGGCATGGCTGGTGCGGCTGGCCTCTAGCTGCTGCTCGCTGTGCGTGAGACGTTCGCAGAGCTGATCGGCCCGCTGGCCGCTGTACTGGGCGGTGCGATCGGCTTCCTTGGCCTGACGCTTCAGCTTGGCCAGCTCCCAGACAAGCAGCTCGATCTTTTCGGATTGCAGCTGGTCGCGATGCTCCAGTGCCTTGCGCAGGCGATCGCTCTCATTGAGCGCGCCGCGTGCTTCGCGCACCGTCGCCTGATGATGGGCCACGTGCGTCAGGGCCAGCTGTAGCTCATCCTCCAGTTCGACATTGCGACGCTGCAGGTCCATGTAGCTCTCCTCCAATTGGCTGCGACGCTCTAGCTCACGTTGCAGCATTGTCTGGCAGTGGGTATACTCCTCCCGGTAGCGTTCCAGATCATTCTTGGCCACTTGTATCTTATGCTTTAGTGCATCCAATATGAGGCCCTGTCTGCCCAACATTTTTCCAAGTTTTGAGTTACTCGCTGTATCTTTCTTAGTTTGTAGCAGCTCAATAATGCAATTGCTTTGGCCTGAATTGTTCCTGCTGCCGTTTTGCTTTCTTAATGAACACATTTTATATAGCTCAGCCGACTCGAGCAGGCTTACTTGATACGTGAATTGCTTGGCCTACTGCAGCATATACTTAAGCTAGGGAAATTAACGTGTCCATACTATAAACGAAAAGTACCATCAACAAATTTCCCTACTATTTGAATTTCGTGCTTTTGGCCAGAGCTTGACTGTGAGCACAGCGCAGATTTGAACCATTTGCAAGTTGGCCACCAGATGACGCCATAGCTGTAGCTTACGTTTGTCAAAGCTCACTGAAAGCTTTGCCAGACAGCATGGAGTTCAGCTTAAAGTGCAGATACATTTAAAACAAATTCAAAAATTAATTTAAGAAAATATAAACCCTTATATTCCACTTCAAAATCAGCTTGGCTGCACTTTTGAGAGCTTACATTAGATACGAAAATGTTTTAAACATCTTATTGCAGATTTTAATAAAGAATAAAGTTAATAAACATTTCGCAACACTGTTTTTTGTTACTGAACATTAATCAAGATTTTCTAACGATTAAATGGGAATGTGTTTAAGAAAACTGGGAGAGTAATTACAGAGCTTATTAGTTCGATTTGAACCAGAAAAAATGTACACAAAAATCTAGAAATATTTCAGAAAAGAAATCAAAAGATATTTGCATTGATCTAGTAGTTGGATAGTCTTCTAGACAGAGTCTTGTTAAAGGCTGGTGCATGATGATATTTTAATATTTTAAAATTTTTGATTTGTTTGCGATATAGAATCAAAACTGAAGCCGCGAGAAATTTGAGTACTAAACTTAACTAAATAATATATTTTCTTTATTCTTTGCGTTTTCCATTTCCCGTTTCCTATACTTTTCGATTTTCGTTTCCACTGATTCTACCTCCTCCTCCTCCGGTTCAGGATCCGCTTTAAAGCCCTTCCTTAGTATACTAGATGGTCCGCCGGTTGGATTTTCCTTTTGTGCCTTGGCAAATATTTCGCCCAGCTCCATGCAATCCTTGACGGTGACAATTGACCACTTGTGCGGTCTCATATGATAGAGACGAACGAGTCCGCCCGTATAGGCATCCAGATAGGTGGCATGGTAAACGCCGCGTAATGCCAGATTGTAGGCCTCCTCATCGGACATATCCCATCTGTAGAAGCTGTCCAAGATGCCCAATGCACAATGCGCACCGCTGCCAATCGTAAATAAATTGCCCTCGACGCGCTGACCATCAGAGTCCACGTAAATGAGCTGAGGCCCATCAAAATCGTAGCCGGCGAGCATCATGCCAATGCAGAGGCCCAATCCCTTGAATTTGTACGCAATGTTACACATGATACGCGCCGCGGACTTAACTGTCATCGAACGTCCATAGGTCAGCTCGAACAGACGGCATTCCATTGTGAGCACCCGATCCCAGTAGACGCAATCGGCGGCGCCGCCGGCAATGGTGCCCAATATGCCCTTGTCCACCTCAATGATTTTCTTCATTTCCTGCGAGGCAATAAATTCGCCATTTGTGCCGCGCGAATCGGCGCAGAGAAGGATTCCGCCCTGGTACTTGAAGCCCAACGTGGTCGTCCCATGCGACATCTCCAGGTTCAAGTTGCTTTTCTTTAGCGACCTCTTAATCTTCCTTTTCGGATTCTCAAAGGGCGGCGCGATTACAGAATACGCACTGTCGAACACGGTCTTGCCCGTGTTGACTTCCACTTGGGCATAGGCAACATTCAGATCATTATAGGGCTGCATAAAGTCCGCCTTATCTATGCCGCAAATTCGCTCCAAAGCCATCACAACCTATTCTTTGATAACTAATGTATCTCATATATTAATCGCTCTTATCAAATTTCCACTAAAAAAAGTTATCAAAATATTTATAGCTGTCCTTTTGAACTTGCGATGTGTGACTACAACTCTATAAATAACTAACAAAATATCAGTCGGGTTGAGTTTAAGGCCTACTATAGGATAAATCTCGATAGTTTTTAAATTTGTTGTACAATCATTTAAAAAGCTGCCAGCAGATGGCGGCACAGGACATTCTTTTAGAGCTTTTCTCAAAACTCTTTTTCCTGAAAGCTCGCCATAGTGATAAAAATGTTTAAACACTTAATTTTTGAAAAAATATGAGAAATATTAAAATGATATTTTAACGATTATTTGGATAATAAATTAAATATATATATTAATCAACAACGGAAGCTCCCGACTAGGGGATACCCTGAACCCTCTTCTTCCAACATCAAATGCATATATATATTCTATTTTAGAAGCTATATGTCAAGTTTGGTGACTCTAGCTCTTGATATTTACCAAAATTGCCCAAAAAACAGGATATAGATATCGATTTTTATCGATTGCTTGGAAACAGAGTAAGTAGTTATCGATTATCAGAAACAAACTCGATCTGCGCAGGCACTAGGAGCACCTAGATCTAAAATTTCAAGTCTCTAGCTCTTATAGGTTTTGAGATCCTTGCGTTCATACATACGGTCGGACGGACGGACGGACAGACAGACGGATATGGCATGATCGACTCGACTATTGATGCTGATCAAAAATATATATACTTTAAGGGGTCGGAGATGCTTCCTTCTGCCTGTTACATACATTTGGATTTTGCATAAATACAATATACCCTTATACCCATTTTTAATGGGTTTAGGGTTAAAAAATATATATATATTTATAACTAAAATATAATAATTATAATATAATATAATTCAAATTTCAAAATATATATATTTAATAAATATATTATATAAAATAAAAGCCTTCATCAGAAAAACAAATAAAATGTCAGTGTTTTTTTTCAACGGTCGAACCAACTCCCAGCTTTAAGCTTCTATTCGAGAACCAATATCTCTCATCTAGGAACCCAGGTTTAATCCTTGTTAATTCATAAATTCACAAAATTTGTATGCTAATATAAAATTTTTCATCTTCCGTATCATCATCCGTAGGCCGTAGGCAGATTTCTATGTAGAAGCTGCGAACTAGTTATTACAGAATTTCCAAAAAAATCGATATTTATCACCGATCGAAAAACAATTGATTGACTTATTCTGCATATGATATGCGGGAATAGAGTAAGCAATTGAACAGAAATACATTTTAATGCTAACAGTTTCAAATAGCAATTATAAAGTATGCGTAAATTATTTTCCTTCTCAAAAGCGAATAATAAACAGCTAAGCCCTAACCAAGTGACAGCAGTTCAAAGAGTGGCCCAACCTGTGTGCTCATTTATGCATGTCGCAATTTATTTTGAGGAAATTTAAGAACTTCTATTATATGCTGCTTTTCGAATTTGTTATTGCGTAGAATAATTGGCGAAATGATTAGAGCTTCCATAACGACGGCTTAGCGATGAGCGGGAAATTACGCTTCACTTTCTTCTCAAGTTGCTCTTTAAGGTCGAGCGAAAAATGTTGAGCAATTACGAGGCGCGCGCCTGGAACAGCCGACGTATGATAATATGCCACAACTGTCAACAATATTTCCGGTGCAAAGTGTCTCTACGGTGATTCCCCGCCGCCAACATTGCGCATGTATGTGTGCGGCCTTGACAGCATTGTGATTGTGTGTGTATGCTTGTGCAGGTGTGTGCATAGGTGTGTGCATAGCACTCACAGCTCGGGCACATATCATTGTCAGTGCACGCCCGTGACTCAACTTCAGTTCGCTTGAGTTGTCTAAAGACTCGGGTCCAACTGTCGGCATCGTCTTAGCAACTAAACGACAGGAACAGCAGCAGCAACAGCATCATTATAAGCTAGACGTACACTGAGAAATATATATGCACACGTGCAATGCTTAACAAATTATTCTTGGGAGTAGACACTTCTTCGGGAGAGCCGATAGAAACTCTTCTCAATCAAAATATTGAGTATTTTTAAAAAATAATATAATATTCTAAGATAGATTTTACGGAGAGTATATTCATGCTATCACGATTCGATGATGATTAAACACTAAACCTTCATTATAAAATGGCTTCGTTGAGCATTATTGTATGTTTATAACTTCTAAAATATAATAACAAAAATTGATTAATTAGTATCGAAAATATTTTCAGTCAAAATATTTCTTCAATCAGTTAAGTTTGTAGAAAATCTGAATCAACCAAGTGGCGTAAACCTTGTTAAAAAATCAGGTTCAGGGAGCGTGAATAAAATTGCCGACAATTTAGCCTGAACTGATATAAAAATGGAATATTGGATTGAAACTGCAAACCGTTTCTGAAACGAAACAGTTCGAATGCTGAAATCTTTTTTGTTATCTTTGTATGAAAACCAATTTTAGCTCAAACGTATGTGTGTTTAGTCTGTTTAGCACTACGAATATAACTCCTTCTTCCGAATGTAGTCCAATGCAACCCAGAAATTTGTCAAGTGCAAATTTCTATGTGTGTCTATGTGAGTATCTATCCGCGTGTGCGTGTGTGTTAGTGTTTGTGTGTCTGTTGAGTTTTTGTCGAGCAAATGGCGCCGTCAACGCAGTCATTAGATGGTTGGGTAGCTGGCTTCCAGCCACGCCCAGTGCTAGTAGGCGGTATGTGTCTGCTACGGTGTTGACGCTGATGTTGTTGTTGTTGGCATTAACTTGACACTTTCCCCATTGCCGTGTGGCATGCCTCGAGTAGCGTACATAGTGCCAGCGAACAGCTACAGAGTGCCCCCATGTGTATGTGTGTGTGTGTGTGTATGCAAAAATTTATAACTGTAAAAGGCACTCGAAACACATTCGCATGGAAATTTGCCTGCATTTTTGCTTTGATTAATGTGCCGGGCCGAGCCGGGAGAATCGCTCGTGATAAAATATGTGAAGCGTCCTGTATGCCCGTCTGTCTGTCCGTCAGTCTGCCAGTCTTAAAAGGCAACGGACTCCTTTAAGGCGCCACTTAATTATTTACCGAAAGCAACAACATTTCAATTGTTTTGTGGCGTGCTGCCACTAAAGCTGAAATTGCCACAAAACCGGTTACAACTATTTTCATTTGCATTTCCGTTTCCGCCTTCTTGGCAGATTTCAATTGCATTAGCGTCGAGCATCATCAACATTTGTTGATCGGAAAGCGTTTTGCATTTTAACTTGATTTCAATTCTTTTGAGTTGTGGTGCACTAGAAAATGTAAGTGTCAGTGTTGGTAAATACACTCGTTTTGAAAGATGATTAAAATAAGTGTAGGTAATTACAAACTAAATTAATTTTTTTTTTTGATTATGTATGGAAGATTCATAAGAGCAAGAAAATATTAATAGTTGTTTTAGTTAATTTGCCAATATATGTAATATATTTAATCGTAAGTTCTGCCTTAATATCAGTGTTGAACAGCTAACGTGATTATGGAAATGCCAAATGCTGTATAGTGTTACTGGCAGTGTTGACAAATGTGTTCACCGTACTAATTGAGCATATCAAGAGAATGCTGTAAAGCATTTCCGATCAAGTTATGTTATCTTAATCAGATTGTAGGCTGAGATCTGTATTTTAGCTTTGACGGTGGAAAAAAAACATTTTGTTTGTGTAGTGTTTGGACATACTTAAATATATAAATATTAAGACTCTGAATTGTACACAAGCTTTGCACAAGTACAACCGTTACGTCTGGGAAAGTGGACGGAAGGTATATTTATCCAGTAAGAAACTTAATGTCAATGTAATATTTAACATTGTAATATAATATAATAAAACATCCTGAAAGCACAAAGGAGTCATGAAATCCAAAAGATATTGTTTATTTGTTTTGCAAACTTCCAGTTGAAAAGCACTTTTGGATGTTTGCCTGTTTAATTTAGTAAGTTGGCAGCGTTGCCACCTTACAACATAGTTCGAGCAGCGCGTCGATATAGTGCTGCCAACTGACCGCCAAGAGAATGGTGAGAATGAAACAGGAGAAGTTCAAGAATAACTAGCGTGAGTTTAAATTTTCACTTAAGAAAACATGTCCAAATTAAGCACTCTAATTACAATTAATAATCGGTTTAATCAACTATTTAAGCCGTTGACGCAATCAACGTTGTTGAATTTTTTTTTTTGCCAAAGCTTAGAGCTGGGGCATGGACAATTTATCTGGCACCGCTCTCCACTCGGCACGCGCCATGCACTTGGTGAAGTGACCCAAGTAGTGGGCCATGGCCACCAGAGTTAGCTCCCAAAAATGCAAATCGTGCTGAATTGCATTTTTCGTAGCAACAGCGAGCAAAATTCAAACTGCACATTTTTATAGGCAGGAGCTTGAATAGTTGCACTGGCGCCACTCGGTACAGCACCCTGCTAACCTAAACTCCCAGATGCCCCAGCTGCCCCGGCTGCTGCGGCTGCTGAACGAGGCGTTGATAAATGTGGCAGACGCCAACGCCAGTTGCAACAGGACTAGACCAGGGCCAGTGTCACAGCCACTGCTGCTGCTGCTGTTAAGTGTTGCAAATCCACTGAGCGGCATAAAATGTTGCGTCATCCGGCGTGCAAATGCTGGAGCTGCAGCTAATAGAGGACAACCTCCATAGTTTCAGTGAATGACCATTTTTGGCCATGCCCCCCATGCCCCGAAACCAATTTTCCTATTTTTTTTCGCGCTTTTTTTTTTTTTTTGGCTGTGTTTCTTGCCTTCGTCTCTACCATGGTAAACGCTGTGGCAACGCTGTTGACAATTTGTCGACGTGTCAGAAGAGTCAACGTGAATGTCACAAGTGACGGCGACGCCGACGCGGATGCTGAAGAGACGACGCTGGACTGGGTTGCTGGTTACTTGCTCCATTGGACAGCGGCTGGATTGCGTCAGTTTTGTTTTAGCTGTCATCATTTTCGCTTAAATATTGATATGCCCTATGCCACAGTGTGGTTGCAGCTCTCTAGCCACAAGCATTCAAGATTTGCAAAATTCGCTTACGAAATCGAACGATTCGATCAAGGTCGCTAATTTGCGAAAAGTGCTCGGTTTTCGCTTAGCTCAAGAAATATATCAAAAAGATATCACTGTTCCAAAGCAAATGATTGCAAGTTAATTAGAAATAAAAGTTATAATTGTAATTACTTTTCTATTTGAACTCTCTATACGTGTGAAATCATATGTTATGGAATGCTGAAATGGAACAAGCGTTGAGTCAATACAAATCGAGCTAATTAGAATGAAGCCAAAATTATGGTATGGAACAACGTGCGTCTGCATCATTAAAGCTATGCCATTCGAAGAATGCCAATCGATTCCAATGACTTGGAATGCAGGAAAATAAGAGTAAGTGTCTGTGAAAATCTTACAATATGTATGTGGTCGATTGATTTTATGAAAGCGGATGAAGCAGAAGCATACGGAATGCTACAATGGAACCCTTTGCGAAGCCAAGTCAAAACTGTGCTACAGTATGCTGGAAGGATATTACGTATAAATGAAAAGCTGGAATGAAACACTTTAAGCTTGTGAATTCGAAGCAAGTCACAGGCTTTTTCTAGCTCAAACATGATAATTTGTCAGCAGTTATTTGTAGATCATTTTCAATTCGTTATAGATTCAGCGCATGCATCGTCTATTTGCTACTGCGTTTTTTGATGGCGTAACCGAAAATTAATTTTTACACAGACGAAAAGTCAGAGTTGGCTGTTCGCGAGGACATGAGCGCCATAATTGATATATGTGTGGGCGTATGTGTGTGTGTGTGTGTGTGTGTGTGTGTGTGTTGAGGTCATCAGGCAAACAGCAATCGTTGGAATAAAGCGATCCAGATCCAGACAGCGTCAGTTGTCAGGCAATGGTCGATGTCCTTGTGTCACTAATTACATGCATGTCAATTTTTCGCTCATCATTGCGCCCGGGTGGCAACGTTGCGCACACCGCCGCCGTTCCATTCCGTTTCGTTTCATTGCAATGTCTGTGAACGATTCACTCAGCGGCCAGCACACTGAAACGGCAACAAAACCAAACATATTTGGACAGCTTGTGGACAGGCCGGATGGTTTGGTTGTGGTCATCGGCATCCTCCAGTGGAAAGCTGACTGATGTCCTTTGCCCCCTCGCCATGTGGCACTCTCCGCTCCCCTCACCCATCTCATCAGTCGCCTCTTGCCATTCGCTTCCGTTGCTGTTGCCCCTACGTTCATGCGTTCGTGCGTTCGTGTGTGCGTATATTTTTATTAAATTTTTCATTATTTGCTGACAGCTGTCGGTAAATGGAATTGTTTATTACCTGGCCTCGTCTCTCCCCTACCTGATGGCCCCTATCGTCCTGTTGTCCTTCTGCTGCTGCTGCTGCTGACGCCGCATCGTTGTCGGTGATTATCATAACGTTTGCACTGGACAGCCGGGCCTGCCAACCGGCTGCAAATGTTGACAGTTTTGGGTAACACAACAAAACACAATTGCGGGCTGGCAGCAGTAGCTGGTCAGCATTGGAATGGTTGGTTGGATTGGTAGGGTTGGTGGGGTTAGAAGGGCCACGAGCGAATCAAGTGCTGAGTTTGAATTTGACAATTGGAATGCAGGGCAAAAGCATCCATTTTAGAAATACGTTCTAGTAGCCACAAACCGCAAAACAGAATAAGTACCAGATGTGTGTCCATTGATGTGTGTTTCGTGAGGATTCTCAACATTTGTAAATGTATATATGGCTTTAATGTCAAATCAGCATTTAACTAGGAATTTCTTCAGCACACTTTTAAGAATATGTAAAAGTGTTTCAGAAGAATACCAGATTGCTCCCATACTAGCCGCTATATGATTAAGTAACATGGTGTCATAAAGATTTTTTAGATATCTTAGCTGATTTGGTTTATTTTTTGATAGTTGGAATCCTCAAAAAAATGTCTTTGATCCTTTAATCTTTGGACTCTCGTACGAAATCAAGGCTCCAACCCGGCAAATTAATTAAAAATAAGTCAAATTTGTTCCCAAATGGTTTAGACACGGGCCTTGCACTGAGTGAGGAATTCAAGAGGAGGCCTTACGGTGCGCACACAATTTGCATTAAATTGCTGACTTTTGTGCTGCATCAAAAGAAACAGTTGCAACACATTTTGGGGGCAGGGTTACAAGTTGATAGCGAGTCGGGAGCCGGACTCAAATTGCGGCTTCTTTCCTAACAATGGCAAATCAAATAAGTTGCATGCAGTTTGCACTTAATTGCCAGTGCCAAAGTGGCAAGAAAAAAGGCAGCGGAGCCAGTTGCAGCTGCCAAGTGGCAAATGGCAGCAGCTGATGCTGGAGCTGCACCAGCAGCAGCCCGGTGGCCAAGGGTAGTCTGGCAAATGGGCGCTGGGCGATGGGTGATGGGCAACATGAGAACCAATTAAAGACATCGTTGGCAACCTCGCTGTCGTCCGGCGTTGTTGGCAAACGTCAACGTCGAAAACTAATTAGCATAACAAGCAACAAAGCGTACAAAAGGGGTGGGCAGCGGTTGGAGAGTGGGGCGGGGGCGCAATGGAATGTAGCCAAGTGGTGCTGGCAACCTAGTTACTCGCCGGCTGCATGTGTGTGCGAGTATTTGACGCTTCCGCTTGTATGCAGAGTCTGGTCGGGTCTCGATGCCATTCCAACAGCTCACGTTCTCATTCTCTTGGCTTGTGGGCGCAAATCAAAAGTTGCGGCATTGAAATGAGCCACCCAACCGCACATACACACACGCACGCACACACGGAACAGACACACACCCACTTAGCCATAAACCAATACAAATACAAGTCAAGCAATGCAGTGGCCCGGTCCGGCCCTGGCCTAGCCTGAGTCTGAACTGGAGCTGGCGACACAGCCCGGACTGGAGCCTGGAGACTGTAGACCGAAGCTGAAGCTGGCGCTGGCGCTGACGCTGGAGCTGTTCGTCCTTTAACGCGGCGATTGGCCGTTGCAACTTGCAGCGCCGCGCCTGACATTAATAAACTGTCGGCATAAATAAAATGCAAGAAGCAGCAGCAGGAGCTGCAGCAGGCAGGCAGGCAGGACACTGGCGACCAATGGTGGGCAAATAAAAATAGAAAGCGCGGGCGGAGTTGCCGAGGGGCGGACGGGCGCCAAAGCGTTATGATTTATGCGCCGCTGCAGCTGAAGCTGCTCCACAAAAGGACACTGGCAGCTGTGATCTGGAGCGGGGGCAGGCGACTGCTTCCAATCGACGCCGTCTTCCGGCGTGCAAATAAAATTTCGGGCTTGGCGGTCGGCGCATGTTTCTGATGGCGACGAGACAGCAGCGAGACAAGCTCAAAGGGATTAAATTAAAGTGTCCTTTGAGTTGTGTTTTAATTACTTCCTCTCTCTGGCTCAAGTCACTGTGGCAATGAAAACGTCGTCTGTCTTCCGCACTGTGCCAACGACGTCAGTCCTCTCAAGTCGGAGCCCATATCCCAGACCCCGTCCACGCCCACGCACACGCCGACGGGCGCACCCGCAACCAGCAAAAGCAAAAGCAACAGCAGCCGTCACAGCCGGAGACAGCGTCCTAGCCTGAAACTTAGACAGTCGCACAATTTCTGGCCACAAGCCCAAAAGTTGCCAAAGTTTTTAGCCTCAACAACGAATCAAATTGTTGAACAGACCAACGAGAAACCACCGAAATCTCTCATGGAGTACAAATTTCATGGAGTACAAATGAAAGCTGCTTAAAGTGCACGTAAATTAAGTACTATTATACTATTTATACATACTAGCCAGTATTTTCCGCGCCCTTAACATTTCGGACATTACATTTCCACACATTTTCCTCCTGTGGAAGATTTAAATCTAACCGTAGTGCCCCATGTGCTCCATGTGTCCAAATAATTCACAGAAATTTCGGTCGAAATCCCAAGTTTTCCGCGAATTTTTCACACTTGTGGGTGGAATTTCCCGTAAACCCATCTAAGCTCCCACTAAGACTGAAGCTAGTCTGCCTGAGTTCAAAAAGTCTTTATATTGGAGTTTGATATATAAATTATACCGCTGCATTACTTGCCAAATAAAAATCCAACCTAATTGACTTCATTTACAACTCTAAATAATGTAATACAGTATTTCTTAAGTTAATAACTTTCAAATCTCAGATGAAATGTTGTTTAAGCAAACTCCCCAAATATACATTCAAAGGCGGCTGCTTCGAAATAGCACATTATAGATTTTACATTTTTAAGCAAACACATTCAAAAGCTACTCACACGTACACAACACACGTACGCATTTATTGGTTACGCCGCTTTACGCAAAGCACATGAGCTTGCAAAAGCTCACCAATATAGGGACAGGGTCTAAGTTAATGGCTAGCGCTGCAGTCTGCAGGTCGCTGGCTTTAAAGTTGGTCAATGCCGGGGGTCAAATAAATGGTTATAGACAATGGCAGGCAGACAGGCGTTGCTATAGATACATAGATATACATGTGTTACTGGCGGCAGCTCATTCATTCTCATCAGCGTATTGGGGATTTGCCGCCTTTGAAGCGCCTGTCAAGTGTCGCGTGCGTGAAGCGGCAACGTGCGTGACTGCAGCCAGAGAGCCGCAGGAGCTGAACCTGAAGCTGGGCTGCGGATATGGACGACGCCCCAAACAAATGGCCAATTAATTGCCAGAGCCGGCAGCAATCGATTCTAGCCAGGCAGTCGCCCGGTTTCTGCTGCCGTCTGCTCGACTGCTCGACTGCAATCGATTATTTATTTATTTATGCCACGCTGTGCCGCCTTCAATTGGCTACAATTGGCGCTTATCTCTGACGTTGGCGTTCGGGCTTTGTGGGCGTTGCGCTAGGAGCGGGCGTTACAAATGTTTTGCATATCACTGACAAGGGAGAGACAGTGCCTTAGAAACGGCATCGGACATCCAACCCCTCGCCCCACATGATGCCCCATAGCACCGTCTCCATTGGGACTTTGCATACATTTGCCAGTGGCTTGGCTGGGCAAATATTTTAGGCTCTCGCTCTTTTGCTCTGCATGGGAATTTATTTGAGCAAATTTGCAAATTATTGCGTTTCGTGCCGAGAGCGAGAGTCCTTTCGTGGACATCTATTACGCTTGCCCATTTACATTTGGCAATTGCCTTGTTGGCATCTTTTTAATGGGCCTGGCTCACAGCCGCCCGCGCCTCGCACCGCCCCCTTCACCAGCTGCTGTTAAAGCTCGAGCTCAACTCGAATTTGGCACGCTGGTTTTTTATGGCCTTTGAGTGGATTTCGCTACGACAGCGCACAAATTGGCGGAATGCATTAGAACAATGGCTGGCAAGTTAAAGATTTTTTAAGATTTTACCAGATTTCCTTTGACTTTTTCTCTACTGCCATGGAAAGCTCAAACTTGAAAGCGTGAAAAGCGTGGAGATCGCCAAGGTTAGTTTTGTTCAATTGAATACTTCTGATATTTTTTGATTTTAACATCTCTTTGCAGTCAAACTAACTTTTGAAATCTTGAGAATCCCTCGAGAAAGCTTGAAATATAGCTTTTTAAGCTTTTGACCTTCTTCCCAAAATAATGAATTGAAATATAATTTAATATATTTTTTGAAGCTTTAAATTAATAGTTATATTTACATGTTCGATGTGGAAATAAGCTTTTGCAGCTATGGGCATATTTTTCCTATTCGATTGATTTCAGTTGAAATTTAATTTGATGCATTTAGGCGCTGAGGAATTTTTCTGCAGCACAAACCTTTGGGGCGTTTTCACATCATAGATCATTTGAAAATATTTCAAAGCCGATATCTCCCGAGCTGCATTCTGCATTCAACATTTTTGATCTGCTCAGCTCATTTGTAGCAAAATAATAGCGCAGTTGGGCGTTGGAAAGACCTCTATTGACCTGGACTACGAGGGGCTAGGATGATTTTTTTTACCGGTTACCTTCTGCTGCCCAAAAATCATCTATGCCAGCATGCATATGCACAGAATTGATTACAGTTGTCTGAACCCGGCACGACCCGCACCCACATCCGTTCCCGCTGCCGACTGCTATAGCCGCTGTCTACATCTCACAGCTCAATGGCATTTGTTCAACATCAACGAGTCGTTCGGGCGGCCATTGAACGGCGAAATGGAGGAGGGTTGGAGTGGAACGTCGGTGCTTAGCGGAGGAGGCAGGCAGAGGCACATGAAACCCAACTAAAATTGAACAACAAACTGAACGCCGTGCGTCATCCAGAACCAGAACAATTCAATTGGCCAAGTGGTCCGCACCTGGCACTGGCAATTGAGCCCCTGCACACGAACCTTGCCAATGTCGAGCACACACTGCGACACGTCAAGCAGCCCTGGTCGTACAATCACCCAGCAGCTAGGATGACACTGCACCATGACGCACTGGGCCAGCCA